GAGGTGAAGGGCCACATCGCTCGGATCATGAACGACGCCAGTAGAGCAGGCAGGTAGCACGGCAAGTTACTTGCCTCTAAAGCAGCTTATAGACGGGGACAGTAGAGACGGCAAGTGCTGGCTGCAAGTACTTGCCATTTGCACTTACTGCATACTTTCTTTGTCTATAGGGGTACTTTCCTTTCCAGCGGCAAGAAAACTCAAACATGTTTGATTTTACTGGCCTGGCCGTGGCAAGTAGTGGGTCACGTGACCACTGGCGGCCAGAACTTTCCTGTCAAAACGTGTACTTGCCATGCACTTGCCTCCAGTAGTGCAGAGTGGCAAGTGAAATTATAGTTGATCAGTTGATCGTGTTTATAGAAGTGACAAAGTTGTTGTTTGTTAAAAGTACAAAGTTTGTTTGTTTAAAATGTCAGAGTGTCCTGTTGAGAAGGAAAAAAACATAAAGTGGAGTTGTGATGTCATCATCAAGTTTTTTAAGAGCTATCACAGCTAGAACAACAACACATTCAGCTATTGCTTCATTAAACGTTTCACAAAATTCTTCATCACAATAAGACATTCTAAACACAATTAAATTCAACTATCGACACCATTCACTAGCGATCTCAAAGCAGACTGGCTGCAAGTTCTTTCCTTGACACTTGCCTCCAGTACTTACCCAGAAACATACGGCAAGTGACGTAACAAGTTACCTGAGGTAAGTAGCCTGCCCACCAACTGGCCTCGTGTAAATGCAGCTTCAAAACAAGTCATATTTATTACCAATTCAAATAGCATTATATTTAGATTACCGAGTACATTGTTTTGCTGCTACAAAAAAGGTAAAAGATGCTTTTTGTTTACATAATGTTAAAATAGTAAAAGATCAAATAAATAAATTTGTAAATGTTGATCATCATGTATATCTATAAACATGCAAACTACACAGTTTTCTTTTTATCAATAAGAATAACATTGACATTTTAAATGTACCGTACAATCTTTTGTAATTTTCTCTGAAACCTTTGATTGTACAATACTTCAATGTACAAGATTATTTGTGTTTTTTAAGGTCTACACAAAGGTTAAACTAAAAATTGAGCATTTCCGTGTTTTAAGGGTGAAATAAAAAAACTAAATTTTTGAATTGTTGATTGTCTGATTTCCAATGGTTGTCAATATAATAAATGTTAATTTAGGCTATATTAACTGACTAAGTTTACTGTTACAGTTCAAGTTCAAGACATCTTAAAAGAAATTGAAAAGGATACTAGATTCCAAGAAGTCACAGAAGAAATAAAAAAAAGTTTCTGAAGCCAAAGAAATCAGAAAAGAAGTTGGATCGTAAGATGCAACTGAAACAAAGCCAAAAGTGACAATAACCCTGTAAACATCCAGTTTGTGGGATACAGGGGCTGAATGTCTATATTGAGTCAAGCTACCCTCTTTTTCCTTATTTCTCCATGAAAACTTTTAAATTTTTCATGCAGCTACAACCATTGACTATAGGTTATAGGCAATGCTACAACTCAGCACATTTCCATTTATATTTTCAATTTTAGTGTCTCATGGCCTCATTATGTTCTGTTTTAGCTATACCGTTAATGTAAACTGCCATTTTAGAAGTGTATCCCACAAATTCTGAGTTAACATTTACTTTTTAAGTGTATCAAGTAGACTGCATCAGTTATGTGGTTTGAAAACTCTACACTAATTTTAAGGATTATTTTCTTAAAAGGCCTTTCTAGATTACAATGTCTTAACTTACTTAATCATTAAAATAGATAATCAATTCATTATCAGCTAAAATACATATAAATATCCATAAAATATTGGGTTTGACTCCTCAGTCAAGATTAAAGTGCTTGACTAATTTAAGCCTCTAAACATGGTTTTCATTAAAAAAATTAAAATATCTGTAATTCTGTCAAAGACTCTATTTTTACTTATGACAGAATTACACTGGGCTTTGCCATTCAGACAGATGGTGTCCAATTGTTCCTGATGATGACAGGAATATTATAAATCAATTGTCATTTAACATTTTTTATACAGGGGGTTAATAGGGAATAAAAAATGCTAAATAAAAGTGTTCTTGGCATTTTTTCATAAAATCAGCCATTTTTTGTAATTTAAGTTTAAAAATTGAAATGGCCGCCATTTTGAAATCTTAAGATGAATCAAGCTAATTTTTTTTCAAACGTTGGTTTCTTTTACCTTAACATTCATACCATGTTTCAAAATGATAAGTTAAAAAACTTTTAAGATAAAAATGTTATTGTGAAAAAAAACTAAATGGCGGATATCTGGTTAATAAAGCAAATTTGGAAAAAAAATTATTCTTGATTTTCTCTTTATTTTGACCCATAGATTCATTTCCCGGAATTTGAGTGTTTACTTACGAGACACCCTGTATAACTATACTTACTGCCTTGTAAAGATTTACAGTATAAGTGTAAATATTTCATATAATATTGGAAGTATTATATTTTATTCATTTATTTACCAGGGGACTGATCCTTGCTTGGTAGTGTTTAATCTACTTATAGTAATAAAAAAAATAAAACATACACATTTTATAATTTACAAAAAGTGTTTTTTACTAAACCATACAATGTAAAATATGCAGTAAAACTAATTTTAGATTAAAAAATTTACCTTACATTAGGTAGTGCTACTGTACTTGCACAACATTTTTCTCACCTCTTGTTCTTGTTATACAAAACTGTTGTTCATTTTTTACACACAGCCGATGAAAAATGTGCAATAAACAAAATAACTTTGGTTTAAAAATGGCTCTTGTTAATAATTTTAATCACATAACCCAAAGTCTCACATAGGTATGTTTGTTAACAAAATCTTTCACTCTTGCTCTTTTACTTTTGAAGAAATGGAGCTTCCTTCTCCTCTTTTATTGATTTTGGCGTAATAGTTTTATTTTGATTGAAATCCCCTGATGTCAATGAATTTATTTTGAATATTTTTATCATTATAATTTTAAAGTAATCATGTAAAAAATAGAATTACTTTTATGTAAGTAAGGAGCTTGATTTATTCGTTTTGTATTAAAGACAGTTACAGAAACATAATAATACTTAAATATTGAAACAAAAAAACTGTTTGCTTCGTTTCAGATTATGTGCAATCAGGATCCTCTGTCCAAGAAGAAAATGAAGGCATTACAATATCTGCCTCAGGGGGCTTGCATAGTGAATACCTAAATGAGTAGAGGTAATGATTGAGGTAGGGGTGCCGCAAATGTATAATAATTGTATTTTGTCTTACAGGCACATCGGCACATGCATAGTGACAAGGCCAGATCACAGAGGTTTAGTTAGATGTCTAGCGTGATCCTCTAGAAAAACATTTTTTTTTACATCAAAGTTTACAGACATCTCATATACATATTTAGTGCTTGGTCCATTAAAAGCCACATCTCTCATCTCATCCCGTCAGTAAGTTTATACAACTCTAAATCTCTGTTTACCTAACAAATATTATTAAAATAAAGCATTAAATCATATATTGCAAATATCCTTTGAGGTCAGACTAAACCCGTTTAAGTACACTATGTGCGTGCAAGCATTGACTATTGGATACAGAAGAAGACACCTCGTCTATATGGATCAGCTGTCGCCAATTATTTACTAAAAAAGAACATAGTTGTGTGAGCCAGTCACAGATTGTGCTAGTGTCTAAAACTCTGTTTTGTACCTTATTTTTTTACTGACATAGTTGCTCGGTCCCAACAGTTGCTATAGCTCATATAAGTCATTCCATCAGTTTGACTTGGTAAAAACCATCGTGTAATTGGCAGAAATCAGTAATTTAGATCAACGCAATCTGTATGTGGCTCACATAAACTAAGACAAATTTGATTAAAAACCTGGCTACAACTTTAACATGGGGATGGAATGTCAAGTTGTTGTATTAATAGTCAAAGGTGCAAGCTACCGCAACCTTTACCTCTTCACTATGTGATGTACAAGCTACCACGACCTCTACCTCTTCACCATGTGATGTACATGCTTCCCCACCCTCTACCTCTTCACTAAGTGATGTGCAAGCTACCACACCCTCTACCTCTTCACTATGTGATGTACAAGCTACCGCGACATCTACGTCTTCACTATGTGATGTACAAGCTACCGCGACCTCTACGTCTTCACTATGTGATGTACAAGCTACCACGATGACCTCTACCTCTTCACTTTGTGTGTGCAGGGCTGGCCTTGGGTTGAGTGGGGCCCAGTAATATTTAGAGTATGGCCCCTTACTACACAAATGTAGTATACCAACAATACAATATGTGTAATATTATATTTATGTTCCCCTTTTTTCTTTTCTACAATTGACGTAAAACTCAATTAATTTATTTTTAGAATATTTTGGTGTTTTTCTGGGTTGTGCCTCTTGCACATTCCTAAGGCCGGCTCTGTGTGCGTGCACGCTACTCCGACAACAACCTCTACCTTTTCACTATGCTTTGTGTCTTGGTAGGTTGTTGTTATGTAGTGTTTTTTTTTTTTTTTTTTTTTTTTTTTTTTTTTTTTTTTTTTTTAATATGGATACAATCTTTAATGTTTGTTAGTGTTCTTACTTCAATATTATTTATTCAAGCCTACAATGAAATAAAGAAATTTGCTGAATTTTAAGTAATATAAAAAAAAATAAATAGCCTGGAAGAAAATCATTTTCCATGAGGATAAAATGGGAAGCATTATTCTGTGCTTATTACTTCAAATATCTTAATAATAGGCATAATTTAAGTGTAATAGAAACCGTTTTCTTGTTAGGCTGATTGAATGGTAAACATATGAATTCAAAAAAATTTAGTGGCACAATCTTATTTCCTCTTCATACAAACACACAGCAAACAAGATTTTTGGCTGTTTTATGGATCCCAAGACCAAACACCTTGAGTGTCTGTTTAGTTTACCAACTACAGTAATAGCTTACTCCCCTTAAGATATCCCCTTAAGATAAATTGGAAAAACAGGAATGAAACACCAAGCCAAGGAAACATATACAGTTTATTTAATACATTATAAAACACAAATTCATTGTTAGCATAGTTAAAGGACTTAGGCACCAGCTCTGATCGGTGGAGAAACCAAAATCACACCATCACCTCGTACAAACAGCATTGGAATGTTTCGTTTTGTTGTTTTGTAGATCTCTTCATACGTTTCTTCATCAATCTCAACCGTTGTCACAGTTTCTTCAACCTCGCCCAAAACCATGTTTAAATGTTGGTCATATGCCTGAAGTGAAAGTGATGTATGTAATTATTAGAATATAAAAACTAGCTTAATTGCTAGAATTTAGGTACCAAGCAATTGTTTTTGCAAAATAACAAAAGTGCTAACTATTCACCTCTCACAAAGTTTATTTTTTGAGGTCCATTTGCTAGCTTATGAGCTATAAAAAAACTAAACATAGGCTACAACAACAAAAGTTCAACTGAGCAACAAGGCAGTTTTGACATAACCTTCGCCGGTGTTGCGTCCGATTAAATCAGCTGGGGAGTATATGTTAACAAATTGTGTTCAAGCGTCTTGTTTTTGAATCTTAATTAATGTACTTTTACTTGTTTTTAAAATTGAGGGGGTTTCAGTAAGATGAATACAATAATTGTGTACCTTTACAACCTGTAAAATTTGGTGCCAAAACTCGTTGGTTGATGCAATTTTAAATCCATTTACACCAATTAAACAAAAAGATAAACTAAGAAAAAAGTAAACATACTGCCCATTGTTTGTTTTCATGTGTGATCTTCAACAACAATCTTTTGAGGTTCAAATTAAATTCTGCCTTAGAGACCAAAAATCTGTAAAACTTGTACTGCATTTGAAAAAAAATAACAATTAAAAAGGTTAAATACCTGTTATACTGTCAATGATTTTGTTTTTTAGTCTAGCGACCAAGGTTTCCAACTTAAAGGTTCATTTTCAAGCTGTCTCCCAAATCATTAAAAAATCCTCAACCTTGGGGTTCTGAAGAGTTGTCAAATACATTTATAGCCCAGTAACTTAAGTAAAAAATCAAGGCCCACAAAGACATGAAAGATGTAAAGCTGATTTTTTGCATGGTGATAGTGTATGATAGAAAGGGTGTTTTCTGAAAGTTCCCCGGATTTCCCCCCCTTGCTTCCCCTTAAACCCCCCCCCTCCCCCAAAACACCAGGTTGAAAGTGTAGTGTTTTACTAAATCACCTATATCTTTTGATGTAAATGAGCTATCAGCATAATTGTTTTTTCTTTGAACTCCCCGTTAAATTTACTTTAATAAAATAACCTTACATGTAGCATTATCTCTTTGGGTGGGTTTATATCTGTGATATAACAAAAAATTTTATTTTTTAACATAAAATTGTAGATTAGGTCAAACCCCGGTTTTTGCAGTAGGTCGTACGTCAATGTGTTTGAAACAAAACTTTTTACCTATTTTATGAGCTTTCCAAAAATGTAGGCCTATAACAATATATATTTTAATTTAAGTTGTTACCGAATGAAGCTCTTTAAATCCATGCTTCACTTAGTGCACTTAGTGCATCATTCCAAATTGTTCAGTAAATATTACTAAATGCTTACTTTTTATTTATTTATTGTTTACACACCCTGTGTGAATGTTTAAGAAGCAAAATAAGATCACTCAATTACAAAATTAGTAAGAAAATAAGTACTCACAAGAATTAAAAATGAAGTAATCGGTAGTTATAAGAAAAGGCAAATATTTGCTCAATAGGTTTATTTAATTAGCCTACAGTAAAAAAAAACAAAAAAAAAACACTTAAGTAAGACATAAACAATACAGTACATATCAACTTTCTTTTCCCTCATCATCGTCAGTTCCTTCGTCAATGAAGGGTGGGAGTGAATTTTTACACTCATTTATACAATCAATTGAGTTGTACAAAGTAAAAAAAAAAACAATTTAGTATTTTTTCACCACTTAAAATTTCTAGATCACTTAGCTTATTACCAATAACTTTTAAATGGAGGGAAAATCTAACAAAGTGGATGTGATATTCTGAAAGAGAATACAAATTACTACAAATAACTACTATGAAAGACTATGCATTTTTTGAAAATACTTAATAAAGGCAGCCAAAAGCTGGCTACAAATAGAAACTTGAAAACAGAAACTTGAAAAAAGAAACTTTCACCACAAATATTTGATAAAATCACACTTTCATAATAATTTGCAAATCTAAATGAATTAGGCTTTCCAATGACCCAATAATTAACAAAATCGGTCTAGTAGAAGTCTAGATTTAGTTGTACAAAGTTTACGAAAATATCCTTTACTCAGTATTTTATCATTACTATAAATTCAGAGGTTGCTTAGCCTTTTAGATAATAACTTTTAAATCGTAAGGAAATCCACCAGAGTGGAAGGTGATATTCTGAAAGAGAATAAAATACACTTTTTGGAAATACTTAAAATAAGTAGCCAAAAGTCGCACCCAAATAAAACGTGTAAAAAACACAGTTTTCAATGCATTTCTTATGGAAAACATTTTTTTATATTTTTCACCATAAATCATAACAAAAACAAACTTTCATAATTATTTTCAAATTTAAATGACACACATTTGAGCTTTCCGACGACACAATACTGTAATTAATAAAATCGGTCCAGTAGAACTCTAGATTTAGTTGTACAAATATTTTTAAAACTGAATTATACAGGGTTAGTAAAAATTGTGGAGACCCCCTGTTATTTTTTTAACGGCCCATACTAGAAAAACTAAACTGGGCACACCTTTATGGCATGTTATGAAGTACTTTTTGGGCATAACCACCACTTGGTGTACATCCCCAAAATGGGGGATTTTGGAAGAAACTCAAACAACCCTTTAAAAACAACATTTTAAATGTTAAGCCCCATTGAGGTCCTGGTTGAAGAAAACTAACAACGCAAACTAGAGGTTTCTATCTCAATCCAGTAAAAAATGGAAGCTGATTGAAATCTGAAATAACTTGCAATTTAATATTTAATTGGCTGCCATATTTTACTGTGTTAAGATAGAGACCTCTAGTTTGCGTTGTTAGTTTTCTTTTATTATGATTTTCAAAATGAGGGGTCACTCGATGGGGCTTGTCATTTAAAGTTTTTGAGTTTCACCCAAAATCCCCCATTTTGGGTTTGGTAACCAAGTGGCTATTAGGCTTAAAAAGTACTTCATAACATGCCAAAAAGGTGTGTAGAATTTAGTTTTCCTAGTGTGAGCCGTTACAAAATTTACAGGGGTCTCCAGACTTGAAAAGCTGTAAGTTAAATTTAACTTCTGAGATTTTCAATTGGCTGCCATTTTTTACTGGATTGAGGTAGATACCTCTAATTTGCGTTGTTGGCTTTCTTTTACCAGGACCTTCAAAATGAGGGGTCACTCAATAGGGCTTAAAATTTGAAATTTTGGAGTTTCCCCCAAAATCCCCCATTTTGGGGATGATCACCAAGTGGCGGTTATTCCCCAAAAGTACTTCATAACATGACCTAAAGGTGTGCCGAGTTTAGTTTTTTTTTTAGTATGGGCCGTTAAAAAAATTAATAGGGGGTCTCCACACTTTTTACTAACCCTGTATATAGAATAGATATTTACTGGACAAGTTGGAATGGTGCGCTAAGTGCGCTTTGTGGCGGTTTGAAGCATGGATTTAAATGGCTTCATTCGGTAACAATTTAAACTAAAATATATATTGTTATACATTTTTGGAAAGCTCATCAAATAGGTAAAAAGTGTTGTTACATTGACGTACCACCTACTGCAAAACCGACGTTTGGCCTAATCTACAACTTCACGTTTTAAATAAAATAATAGCCTATTTATTTTGTATCACATATAAAGTCCCACCCAATAGAGATAATGCTACGTGTAAGGTCATGTTATTAAAGTAAATTTAACGGGGAGTTCAAAGAAAAAACAATTATGCTGATAGCTTGTTTACATCAAAAGATATAGGTGATTTAGTAAAACACTACACATTCAACCTGGTGTTTCGGGGGGGGGGGGGGGGGTTTAGGGGGAAGCAAGGGGGGGAAATTCGGGGAACTTTCAGAAAACACCCTTCCCATTATATACTACCACCATGCAAAAAATCAGCTTTACATCTTTCATGTCTAGGTTCTTACCTAAAGTTACTGGGCTATTAACACTTTCACGAACATAAAAAAGTTTAGCAACAATTTTGCCAATTTGCAATACTGAAAAACGGTTGTATAGGGTAGCCGGCGGATGATGAGTCGCGACAATCAACCCGGCAGATCATTGACAGCATAACACGTATTTAACTTTTTTATTTGTAAAAATCGTGAACCCGGGGCTAAACATGTTTTAAAAATATTTATTGGATAAATAAAAACAAATCTATTTGAACTTTGTGTTGTTTGTTTCTATATATCTTTGTTTACTTCATATTATGGCAAAATGTTGTAAGTATTTCTTTATCAACAATTGTTTTTACACTGTTAATGAAATAATGATTGTGACCTGGACTTCCACAGATTTTGATTTGGAGCTCTGCATACCATAAATTAAGAACCTGTCCCTCCATTTTTATACAATCCCTGGTGTGTCAATGTATTAATGAAAACAATTTTCTGGCAAATAAAGGGATCAAAGTTGTGAGCTCTGAGTGCAAAAACATCAACACTGAACAACCTTGAACACCACTCCACAATGTAATTTAATCATTGCAAGTTGTTTGAGGAATTTACTATGTTGGGCCCTTAAATGTGGGTATGGCCATGGGGTCGTCGTTGTCACCTATCTTTGCCAACATTTTTATGGAGGAGTTTGAGCAAAAAACTTTGGCGTCAGTTCAGCTAAAACCGAAGATCTGTTTGAGGTACGCGATGACACCTTTGTGGTTTTCCCTCATGAAGACAATAAATTGAATGAGTTTTTAGAGAACCTTAATAGCGTTTCATTTTCCATAAACCTAGCTAAGGAAGTAAAATCACAAAAAATTCCCTTTTTTACACGAGTGTGTAGAAGAGCATTTGAGCAGTCTTAGAACATCTGTTTATAGAAAGAAGACACACACAGAGCAGTCAAAATTTCTGTCAAGGAAGGGGTTGTTTACTCTTTGTTCCACAGAGCTAAGCTCATTTGCTCCAATCAGAATGAATTAAAGGATGAAATCAAGAAAGTAGAACAGGATTTGGCTATAGACATCCCAAGAACAAAACAACCTGCGCAGAAACAAAATGATCGCGTGGTTCGCGCCGGTAGGTGTGGCGTACCCTTCAAACCTGC